GGGTTCGGAGTTTAAGGTTTAGGGTCTAGGGTTTGGGGCTAAGGGTTTAAGGTTTAGGGTTTGGGGTTTAGGGCTGCCTTTAAAAGAAGCTATAGGGATTATAAGGTATATAGGGTTTAGGGCTGAGGATTTAGGGCTTTACGGGGGTTAGAGGAGTTATATAGGAGTATATAAAGATATTATGGGGATGTGATGGGGATATGGGATATTATGGGGACTAAGGCTTCCCAAATTTGGCGGTACTTTTTCGGTGTCCCTAATAAGGATCGCATTTTGGCGGTTATGTTGGGGTCCTGAAGCTACCAACTGTGATAGAGTTTACGGTTTGGGGTGATGCGTCTAGAGTTTAGGTGTGAGTTTCAGGTGTAGAGGTTAGGGATTATTGTCCACATCTTAGGCTTCCCTAAGCCCTGAACCCTGAACCCTAAACGAGGGTCTAGCATGAGGGTTTAGGGCCCAGAGTTGAAGTTTGATGTAGAGTTTAGGTATGAGTTTTCAGGGTATAGAGTTTAGGGTTCAGGGTCCAGAGTCTAGAGCCAGTTTAGAGTTTGGAGTTTGGGGTCTAAAGAATTAGATGTGAGGGTTTAGGGTTTAGAGTCTAGGGCTTCCACCAGGTGAGGGGGAACAGGCGAAGCGCTTGTCACCGGTTCTCCCGGACTTTGCCGTCTTCCGCCGAGAGGGCGCCGTGGAGAAGGTTCATTGGTTTGCGGTTTTGGGTTTTACCGTGGGGTTCGGGCTTCAGGGCTTGTGGTCTATAGTTGGTGGTTAAGGGTGCAGGAGTTTGATGGTTTCGCTTCAGGGGTCGAGGGTAGACGGGACAGTGCATCAGGGTTTAGGATTTAGGGTCTTAATTTGAGTGTTAAGGGCACACCCTAAACGTCTTGGGTTTCAGGTTTGGGGTTCTGAGTTTGCACCGCAGGTGTGTGGTGTTTTTGTTGCACAATGACAGCATTAGGCTTAGATTGCACAGTTTCAGGCTGTGCCACATCCCTTTCCTTTCGGGGCGATGTTACCCTAACACTATACTGCCAACTGCTAAGCCATTGAACCCCACAGCCTGCACCCCTGCCAATTATGTGTCCTTATCTATATAACCCCATATGGCCCTATGTCGTCCTACATTACCTTGTAGACTTAACCTCAAAAGCCTAAAGCCCTAAACCCTATACTACCCTACTCCCACACCTTCAACCTCAAAAGCTGAAGCCCTAAACCCTATGTAACCCTAGTCCTATACAGTTCACCTCATAAGCTTAACCTTTAAACCCTAACCCCGTCTAACCTCAAGCCTAAACCCTAAACCCTACATAGCCCTTGTTCCAACCTCAAAAGCCTAAACCTTAAACCCTAAACCCTATGAAGTCCTAAGCCCTGAGCCTTAAGCCTTTTACCTAGATCTATAGAACCCGAAGCCCAAAATATGTGCAAACGTAACCCTAAAAGCTATATAGCCCTAAACCCTAGACCCTAAACTCCAAACTTGATCTAACCCTAGTCCTATACCCCCTCCTCAAAAGCCTAAACCCTCCCCAAACCCTAAATTACCCTAAAGCCTACACCCTATATAACCCTAAATCCCAAACTCTAAACCCTATATTCAGTCCCCGCACTTCCCCTTCAGCACCAGTAAGTCAACAGCCCAGTCTGTGCAGTTCTTACACCCAATCCAGATCCCCAAAGGGATCTAAAAAAATAGATCTCCTAGAACCATATGCGAAAATTATATATGAGGATTATATGGGGGTTATTATGGGTCAATATAGGGGATCTATTTTTGGATCCTCTAAGGGGTCTGGGAAACCCTAAGCGGTTTGAAGGTGGCCAGCACCCCAGAGCTGATAGAGCTGGATGAGGATTTGGGTTTTGGGTTTAGGGGTTTAGGGTTTAGGGATTCGGGATTCGGGGTTTAGAGGATTTGCGGTTTAGGGGACTTAGGGTTTATGACTTAGGGTTGAGGGTTTGAGGGATGATTTGAGGTTTAGGTTGGGTCATTCCCCCTTACAGTATCCGTCCTTACAGGTGTCTTGTTAAGGGGCTATTGTTTTTTCTTATTCCTAATATTCTCATAATTATTGTGGGAACTCTTACTGTAAGGGTCAAAGATGTAAGGTTTAAGTGTAAGCTTTACGGCTTAGTGACTTGGTGACCTCGGCGTCGGGATTCAAGTGATTAAAGTTTAGGGCTGCCTTTAGCGTAGGGGTTCCCATAGGCTGTTGAAGGGTTACGGGGAGACGATGCTGGTCCTTTACTAGGATCCGATTGTTTGGAGACACTCCCAAATAGTAGGCTGCCTTCTGGTGGCGGTCCCTTTGATAAGCTTTTTTGTGACATGCAAGATGGCGCTGTAAAGAAAATGGAAGGCTCTCAGGCATGGTATATGGGGTCAGGGTGGTTAAAAACTACATATATAACCCCCATACAACCCCCCATATAACCCTTATATAACCCTTATATAACCCCTATATAACCCCTACCTTTCCCATCTCTGTGAGTTCTGAGCCAGGAGAGTCGAGAAATCCATGCGGATCCTGCAGAGCGCCTGTTTCGAGTACTCGCCGCCATTCGCAAGTACTTTGCGGATCTCGCCAAGCTACTTGAAGACATCGACGCCGGTGTTTTTGTGGGCCAGAGTCACGAAAGTATCCTGCGAGACGCAGAAGGGGCTTTTCTTCTCCCGGAATCTGTGGCACTCCTGGGGACAATGCTCCTCGTAGTCGATGAGCGGATTCCTGGTACGAGTCGCGAGCGCGCGTTGGTTTTGTTTTATCGTTGCACAGCTGGCACCAGCCGAGAGTCTGATGACTTTGCCGATGTCTGCCGGCTCTTCAAATCTACCGCGCGTCCAGTAGACACTGAGCTGGCAGGCCGAAAGCCTGGATATCCTGAAAGCTACTGGCTTGCTGTTAAGGAATTCAAGCTAAGTTACCAGACCGTTATGGGTATATGGAAAATGATAGGGTTTGCTTATTTTCGTAGTTTAAGTTAAGCTCCTTAACAGCAACCCAGCTTTGGGCACAAGGAACCGCAGTACAGGCCTACTAGACTTGTAACTTCGGCAAGCTACATGACAACTATATAGGGATTAGATAGGGTACTCTTATAGAGCCAAGCTAGGGGATTAGGGGTTTTGGAATTTAGGGGTTTAAGGCTTTAGGATGTAGGGGTTTAGGGTTTAAGGCTCTCAAGCTCTAAATGCCAATCACCTAAATCTGTGCAAGTGGCCCGAACATCTTTCCTGTCCTGTTCTGATCTGCTTGCAGCTCCTGCTGCCTAGATTCCCCAGTAACACCTGAATAATAAGGGTATCCATTTCTCTAATGTTCAGCTTTAGTAAGGAGACCCCCCAAACCCTAAACTGGGGTACGTAGGGACAATGAGCTATAGTCTAAACTCCCAGTTTTCCCCCTAATCACCCGTATGATACTACCCCATATAGTCCCCCATATGACCCCTTTTCTGAAGTTTAGACCCTAAACCCTAAATCCTAAACCCTAAATCCTAAGCCTTCAACCCTAAACCCTAAACCCTAAATCCTAAACTCTAAACCCCTAAACCCGACTACAGCCCGATAGTAGTGGCCCTTTGCAAGACGGCTATTCCACAGCGCACTTTCTCCTGTCAGAAGCCTTTGAAACCTAGGGATGCTTTACAACATGGGTTTAGGGTTTAGGGTTTAGGGTTCAGGGTTTGGCTCCCCGAAAATGTATTTAAACACAATAAGTAAATATATCTATATGAGCCATAATCTAAACTGCTTAAAGGGGGTTATATAAAGGAGTATATAGGGGACTACTACAGGGGTTATTAAGGGGGATACTAGGAGTTTAGACTATAGCTCATGGGGCTTTGTTTCTTGCAGTCCTTCGGGGTTGTCTGGCTTCTCTCAGGGGAAGCG